TTCGAGGGCAAAAATGCAACTTCAACGTGAATTAATCTTGTGGAGCCATTATATAACTACTATACAGGGTGTCTCGAAACTATCGGATGTTATTTTAATGGCAGATTCTTTAGAACATTTTAAACGAAAACTTTCATACAAAAATGTCGAGGTTATAATAGTTTTCAAACGGGAAGCGATTATATTTCACCAATAACAGGGCTGAGATTTCGCGCGCTCAGGCACATGGAAATGACAAGTGATAAAGTTGCTCCTGTGAATGTCACTTTTTTTACGATATCATGATTATTATATAACTTTACAATAACATTGTCATAATATGTTTTGCTGCTTCTCTACGCATTACATTAGTATATTTTTTATATAAATAACAGTTGTAAGATATCTTAAATATGATTCAAGTAAAAATGACATTCCAACTTAATCTGTCAAAGTATCGATCAATTATTACCATGAAGGTGTCCACTATTCTATACTGCGTGTGGCACTTTTATCACTTGTCATTTCGGCGTGCCTGAGCGCGCGAAATCTCAGCCCTGTTATTGGTGGAATATAATCGCTTCCTGTTTGAAAACTATTATAGCCTCGACACTTTTGTATGGAAGTTTTCGTTTTAAAATGTTCTAAAGAATCTGCTATTAAAATAACATCCGGTAGTTTCGGGACCTTCGTATAATAAATTATTAGTGCCTGTTTTCTATAATTGCCTTAAATTACACTGTTTGCACTTTAAATTAAATAGATAAATATTTATATTAAATTAAATAGATATAAGTAGAACAGAAAAAATCATGATGACGTCAAAATGATGAAAAAATAATAAAATCGTGATTGAAAAATGAATTTTATTTCTCATCATTTTCTCGTGATTTTGCCTTTATTTTGACGTCATCGTGATTTCTTAGTCTACTTGAATATTTAATACTTGCCAGGAGGAAGGAAAAAACAGGAAAAAAGAACAGAAAGCAGAAAACAAATATTACAAGATAATTATTACATGCTTACCTACGCGCGATTTCAAATTGTATTGCCCGCGAATCGTTACGCCACTGACACATACATACGCTGGCCAGCTAGTGTTCGGTATATCTCCACCCCTATAAGCTTTCGGTCTGGGGTCGGGTCTGCAGTGCCGTCTTGCGTGGCATTTCGACAGTGGTCGTCGACCGGGGAGGAGTCGTTGCTTAGTTTTTGACCGAGCTCTTCCTTCTCTTTTACTTCTCCTCTCTTTCTTTTTATCCTTCTTCATCTCTTTGTTCGTGACCCCAGCTTTTCGATATCTAGTTTCGTATAGTGTACTCTTATCATCCCGTATCAGAAGCGTACCAGAATTAATTATATATACACGCAGCGTGCATACGCATCATACAATAAGGGGAGGATAAGATTCCACGTAAAGCACGTGGAATTATAAAAGCGCGTACGCATACCGCGAAGCTGGCGAAGTTAGGCTATATATTCTCTAATGTGGGAAGAAATGACAGTGTGATATGTGACGACTACGACGACAACGACGAGGACGAGGACGAAGGCAAAGACGAAATTCGTATTTTACACATCATCAGTAAAAGAAATTTGAAATTATACGGGACAAGTGTTGTCGGTTTTACGATTATTTAAATTGCGCGTCGCATGTACTACTACCTTCTCCGGTGACTGGATTTATTGAGTAAGTAGAACTTTGTTTTTTTATTTTTTTCTTTTTTCACGCTTTTATTTTTGCACACAAGATTGACTGTTAGGGTTTTACGCATCGTATAATTTCACTTTTACGGAGATTTCTCAATGTCCTAACAGCACAGATATCCAGGGAACGTCCTGAGTACGTTCTGAGAACGTCCCAATATCTTCAGAATATCCCTGGAACGTTCTTAGAAGTTCTTGTGTTGTCTGGGTGTGGAGTTACAATGACTATGTTTTCACCGAGGATTCGGATCAGGTCAAAACCGGGTCAGAGTCAAGCTGAGATAAGCGTTCTTACGGTGGAAACACTAAATTTGAAGTTAAATCCTACCTTATACTTATATAAAATTATACTATAGTTATATTATGCTTATATAAAATTTTAAGGGTTGCGTTCCAAAACATCCCTTTTGAAGAAATTTTACTCGACACTCTATAGTTTATGTAACGTAAACTGTAGATATTAAGTAAAACTTTCCTCAAAAAAAATGTTTTAGAATGCTATCAAAGTAGGGTCCAAGAGAGTTCGATGGAAACAACAAGAGTTGAGGTTATTGTAGTATTGCCAACAGAACCAATATAACTTTACATGTCAAGAGGTGTTATAGCTAACTTTATACAGTTGGTAATGTTCAATTTTGTCGCAACTATGGTGTAACTCTGAGCTCGTGGAAATAGGCAAGCCAATCTGACTCGACTCTGACCTGATTCTGACCTGATTCGAATCCTCGGTGGAAACATAAGCCTGGTTTACATTGTGCACTTGATACGCGTATTAAATAGTAACTTTCTATTAAATAATCTTAATATGGAAGAATGATATGGAATCTTAAAGTTACTATTTAGTACGCGTATCAAGTACACGATGTAAACCAAGCCAATCTTAATATCGATGATATATATAAACAACGGTATATTAAGCTGATATAATATTCATCAAGAAGACGTATTGTATCGATTGAATGCGTTGTTGTTGATATGCATGTCAATATTAAGATTATTTAATAGAAAGTTACTATTTAGTACACGTATCAAGTGCGCGATGTAAACCAGGTCATAATCAATGACGATTTGTAACTTATGGAGGATCCACACCGCGTCCGATGTTCAATGTACGACGTCTGATATCCAATAAAAGAATAGCTTTCCAATGGAGAATTGAATTATCTATTAAAAAACTGTTCTCCTATTGGATATTGGACGTCGTACATCAGACACCGGACGCGGTGTGAATCTTGCATTAGGTCTATATTCATAGTCGGATCCAGTGGCGTAGTTAGGGGGGACGGAGGGGGCTGCAGCTCCCCCGAAATTAATTTTTTGGGTTACGCTAAGTGTGAGGAAAGTTGTTTCGAATGACCTGTTTTTATGCTCATCAAAAATAAAAAGTACAGCCCCCCTGAAACTTTTTTCTGGCTACGCCACTGGTCGGATCTTGTGTTTAAGACTTAAGTTCATCTTCAGATACTTCGTAGCCAATGAAATGATCCGTACATCATCTGAAGATAAGCTTAAGATGGTCTTAAATATAAAATCTGACTATGAATATTGACCTTAAGCCTGATCTACAATATGCTGTTTGCTTCTTGCTTCTTTCTCTTTATCTCTCTCTGAATCAAACTTTAAGTTTTAAGCCAAAAAAAGACAGAAGACAAGAAACAGAACGCAAAGAGCATATTGCAGATCAGGCTTTAATCTCACGATATCCGTCGCAACAAAAACTGCCTATAGACTAAAGGCTCTTGCAAAATGCCAGACAACAGGAACAGGGAAAAACAGTAGACTATGCAATTACAAAAAACGATGTATCTTTGATTAGATACTTGACTTTGACATTTCATAAATGTGTGAAACGCGGGGGGAGGGTGAGATTGCTGAAAATTTTATATATATACGCATATAACACAATATTCTATTTATAGACGTATGAAAAATTAACAATTATGAAAGCCGACTACATAATGTAAAAATAGAAATTATTGAAAAAATAAAACTGTTGCTATCCTTTCCACATAGCACGTAATATTACATAATATCACAGTAATATTACCGTAATGTTGCAACATCGCGGAAATATTACGGAAATATTACTGTGATATTATATATATATATATAGTATATATATGTATATTACGTGCTATGTGGGTTATTTAAAAGTAAGAAAAATAAGCAAAGCTGCTGTATTTACCATAGCTGTATACCCTTATAGAAATATCATACTAAGAATCATTGATAATTACTTATTATCCAGTATTTTTAATACTGAAAATAAGTAATTATCAATGATTCTTAGTATGATATTTCTATAAGGGAAGTTTCTTAAGATTTTTTTTATCAAAAGCATTTGATTATGATAATGCATAATTTGCAAAAGTGCGAGATAAAAGTACAATTAAGATGACATATCGAATCGACGTCGTTAATAACAAACGTTTCCACATATGCGTATTTACATGTTTATACACGACAGCAGGCACGTGTTATTGCACGGTCGACGTCGATTGAGTGAGCGAAGTCAACGAGCACGCGTGACTCACCCTTTGCGGAGAATGCAAATATCGACTACCTACCCTCATGACGCGATTATCCCTTACTCACACCTTCAGAGACTTCGAACCATGAAATATCGATCGTCCCTTTTTCTTTGCTTATCTTTTGGATTACTCGTACAGTAATATTGTGAGATAAGATAGAAACGGGAAAGACGAAAAAACACGAACAAAGCAAATTTTCAAGTCACTTTTTTCCTGAAGAAATTTTAAGCTGAAATTTTCATGAAATGAGAATAAATATACATAAAAAGTAAGCTAAATCATTTTAATGAAGCTTATATATAGGAATATAATAATTATCGATAACTACAGAACGCCTTTTATTACGACAGAATGTTGTATGTATGTATTTTATTATTATCAAAAGTTTGCAAGAAATTATTAACGTTAAACGTAATTATATCATTATATCACATTTATTCATTATATTCATATCATTATATCACAGTAGCGCGATATGATTAACACAAATTTTGTCTCATTTAGTAATAAAATTCTTGTAATCTTTTTATTATTGCAATCACCGCGCATTAATTTTTTCGCACGCGTGTATGTGCTTACGCATTTATAATATTTCTTACACACACACACACACACACAAAATAATATATATATATATATATATATATATATATATATATATACATATATAATACTTATTATATATAAGTACATATATATATTTTTATTTATATAATTTTTCTTTACATTGCCACAATTTCTTTTCTACATATTTCTAAATTTTTCTCTACATTTTTTAATATTTCTCTAATTTATCTTTCCTATTAGACTCCTTGAATACTTTTATGTATTTATAATATTTTTTTTATTTACTCTAATATATTTTTTCTTCATTTTAAAAAATTTTATTGTCTTATAATATTTCTTCCGAGCGCGCATAACAATGATGCTAGTCACGATAAGACGTGGTGTAATCTCCGCCATGCACGTTGAAAATGCACGTTCCGAAAACATTCTCGAGCTCGAAACGTTTAAACTGTCCTGCATAGAATAATTTAGTGTGCTGCGGAAATAGAATCGTATTCAACGTAGACGCTAATCTATTACGATTAATATATATTTAAGGATTCTTTAGGAATGCAGAAATTCATTAGAGAAAAAAATATCATCTTTAGCACACACTAATCTCATTTAATCTAATCATTCTAATCTCAGGAAAACGGCAAGGTGATGTTTAGACCATAAAATTTTCAATGTGTAGAATTTTCCGATGATTCATGTTTTTATCGCCGAAGCAATTCTATGGGTTTCTTTTTGCCACGTTTTCTTTTAGTCTCAGATGACTAATCTTGCCTGCATTTTGTGATAAGGGAAAGCAAAAGGAAGGAAGGTACAGCTAAATTCGACTACTGTCAGTCATCATTCAACCAACGTGCGTGTCGGTCGTGCTCATCGAGTTATAACATCCGTCGCGAACGTCGATAGATCAGTCAACTGTTGTTCTGTTAAATTAATATCTGCTGATACTATTAAATTAATATCGGGTTAAAAGAAGAAAGAGATATAGAGAGGAGAACGGGAAGCAAAATTAAGAACGTCCAATAAAACGTAGTTGTTAATCATTAATTTAAACGACGTCTTAGCCAGAAATAATTCGTTGATCGATGTCGAAATGATGTCGAATCGACATCGAAATTGACGTCGATTCGACATCGTTTCGACATCGATTGACGAATCATTTTTGGCTGCGGTTATAAACGACGCAGTTAACTTGTTTGCAGGTAGACTTTAATCTTCTGCCGCGTCGCACATCATGGCAGTCTCTCAACACTTTTGCCTCCGCTGGAACAACCATCGCGCGAACTTGCTCAATGTGTTCGACGAACTGCTGCACAATGAGGCGTTCACGGATGTTACCATCGCCGTGGACGGTGGCACCATCAAGTGCCACAAGGTGGTTTTGGTCGCGTGCTCGCTTTACTTCCAAAGCCTGTTCTCCGACCTTCAATGCGGCCATCCGATCGTCGTGCTCAAAGACGTGAAGCTCTCTGAAATCAAAGCGATCTTGGAGTACATGTATCGCGGCGAAGTAAACGTGGCGCAGGAGCATTTGGGAAGTCTTCTGAAGATCGCGGAAGTACTGAAGGTAAAAGGTCTGATGGGCGAGAACGTCGGCGGTTCGCAAAGCGACGATCAGCGCGAGGAAGCAGTGACGTCGATGTCGCCGCCGCCCGCGATCAGCACGAGCACCGGTGGCGCATCGCACAACACCCACGGCTCGCCGCCGCACTCCACCGGTTCCTACGGTAGTTTCTACGGCGGTAAGTCGTCGTCGATCGATCGGAGTCGGCTCAACGCGATGTCGTGGCCCGGGATGCCGATTTATGCCGCGACCAGCGCGGCCAGCGCGTATCCGTTACATCTCGCTGGTCACGAGAGCAATGCTAGCGATATCGGCTTCAAATCCTTGCCGCAGATAAAGCGTAAGCGGCGCGATAGTGCAGCAGCGGCGCATCAGCAGTCGAGTCTGCTGACGGGAAATCGTGACACGCCGATCCTGCGCACAGTGCTCGGTCAGGGTCACGCGGACAGCTCGCATGCCGACAATCACCACTTCTGCTCGAATAACACCAGCTCGACGAGCGACGATAAGTGCGGCATCGCCGATTACATCCACACCGAAACGGCGCACAGCCCCTACGCGGACGCTCCCCCGATGGAGGACGACGAGAAGCAACGAGTATCGCCGCAGTCGTATGCCGGTGACAGTAAGTCGAGTAAGTAGTCTAAGATGCCTCTTGTATGTGTGTCGCACAAATTGATCATACGTCACTCTTGCATCCAGTAAACGTGTACTTGAAGACTTTATTAATAAAATATTGATCTTTTTCAAAATTTACGTCGCATTGATCGCACAGAATTATAAATGTTTTTACATAATTAACGTACATGCAAAAATGGATTGCTCAATACAAAACAATAAATAAAGTATAGTATGCAGAAAAATTTATATATATGGTTAATTTCCTTGATGGAAACTATGTAGGGAAATTTTCCCTGATAGAAATATTTTGCTGAAAATATAATAAAATTATACTGAAATATATATCAAAATTCTGTATCAATTGATCTTACTTTATTAAAAAATTCAAATTCAAGTTCAAATGAAAAAAATTCAAATTCAAATAAAAAAAAATTTTAATAAAAATTTAGTAAAATTTTTTCTGTATAAAAGCTGAATGTATATTGGGAAAGATTCACTGAAAATTCAATATGATTCTATTTTAAGATTTTTTTAATAAATGACGCTAACGGTTTACGCTTTTGAGGCTAGAGAGGCAATCTGACTGGAGTCAGATTGCCTAAAAATCGTGCTTATTCTTTCAAAATTTTTTATGACAAACTGAATGAATATGCGAAAGTGTTATTTTGATATGTATTTATGCAACATATTTGCAACGTTTTTCTTTTCAAAGTCGTCATTTTGCAGTAATATCTTGACTTTCTGTGGCTTAATTAAGCTAAATTTTAGATAGAAAATTTCCGTAAACTTGTCGTTATCGTGTGAACCACTATAATAGAAATTGAGTAAAAGTTGACAAAATTGCAAATATTTTAATAGAATATTATTCAATTTTGAGTTCTTTTATAGTAAAAAAATTAATATTTCAAAATTAAATATTTTCACGAGTTTGTGAATGGTTCACACAATGACGACAAGCTTACGGAAATTTTCTACCTAAAATTCAGCTTAATTGAACCACCGAGAGTCAAGATATTACTGCAAGATAACACTCTTGAAAAGAAAAACGAAATATTAGATTTGGTTTCTGAGTTTAAGCCGCGTGGATTTTTCTTTTTTTGATTCCGAACATTTCAGTCCGCTTCATCAGGAATGCATCGGGTCGTTCCTCCCTGATCGGGTCGTTCCTCCCTGAAGTGGACTGAAATGTTCGCAAAACGTCGGAATCAAAGAAAGAAAAATCCATGCGGCTTAAACCCGGAAACCCCAAATCTAATATGCAGGGATACCGCAAAAGCCCAAAATATAAAAAACGAAATATATTTTAACAGCATGTACCATACACTTATATTGAGTATTTGATCATCAAAATTATATTTTTCTTCTCTTTATATATTGTATAAATACATGTCAAAATAACACTTGCATATTCATTCAGTTTGTCAAAAAAAAAAAAAAAATTGTAAAAAAAACAAGCACGATTTTCAGACAGTCTAACTTTCCAAAGTCCCCTTAACAACAGTTGACTTAGTTTTCACTTAAATTCGATAAATTTAATAATATCTAATATTTCATATTTTTTTTCTCATTACTGTATCATAGAAGGAGGAAGAGGGCGTATTAAAAGTGGCCCGGCGGGGGGAAAGAAGACGTCGTGCGTTCGGGGACCTACGTCTTTTTCGTTCCGGAAAGAGAAAAGTCAAACGCCCGCGGTTTGCTTAGACCGGGACTCGAACCTGGGTCTCTCGCTTGTCAAGCGATGGCTCTAACCATTCAGCTACCTGACTTTTTTATTTGAAACACTCTACTCTTCCTAGATAACGCTTAGAGATGATTTTTTGGAAGCGACATCTCTGGGTTGCTTTTTTATACCGTGGAAAAGCCGCGCAACAATAACAAAACTATCGTTAACTCCAATAATGAGTTATAGAATCCCAGCACTGTAGCCCTATTCTGTAACTCGTATTCAAAACCTGCGCAACGATAACGAAACTATCGTTAACTTTAATAACGAGTTACAGAATCCCAGCACTGGTCCGATTCTAAGCGCACGGCGACTACAGAGAGAAACAATGTTACTGTACCAGGTAGTATAGCTGTCAGTCTCTCAAAGTCAAAGGTTGCTATCCTTTAAGACTTGCTGTCCATGTATGCCCGTCTCCATTGTTGATCTCCCTCATCCGGTGCAAATAATACAAATAAGCCCCGGGATCAACAACGGGAAAATATATAATATTTTCAAAATTTTTTTAAGTTCATTAAAAAGGAGTGAATATTCATTTCAAGCGATAGTGAGAATAATGCCACTCTAAATGGAGTAACAGAAATATCACTCCATTTAGAGTGGCATTATTTTCTGTCATCTTATGGATATATCTTAATTTCAATGTATTCTGCAGCAATTTTGAGTGCATTTTTCTCGCTTCTAATGTCATCAATCAAGAGTTTTACGCTGAAGAAATCAAAAACCTGTAATGTAATATTATTAGTTGTTCCTTTCATGTGTAACAATTCTGAGCGTTAACAGGAGGTTTTGTTTGTTACAGGTGTCGTGAATTATTCCCATCAGAAACCAGAGTGGAAGCGATACAAGCAATACTCTCGGGAGGATATCTTACGGGCTATCGATGCGGTCAAGTCGGGCATAAGTCCTGTCCAAGCCGCGCGCACTCACGGCGTGCCGTCGCGCACACTATACGACAAGGTGAAAAAGCTCGGCATTAGCACACCGAGACCCTTTAAGCGTGCGCCTAACGGTAGCGGCACTTGCTTTTCCTACGGCATTGGCAGCAATGTAAAAGGTGTTTACAGCGGCAGCTTAACCGAGACCGACAACGAGAGCCGTGATACCAATAGCGTGAGCACACTGGAAAATACGCCGTCATTCGAGACTGTCAAGGCCAAGGACGCGTCGTCACAAGACCGCGGTGACTCTGCGACACCGATGGATGCCATATCGCAATGTAGTACAAACCAGGTAATACGCTGTATCAAGCAGGAGCTGAAGGTGGACGACGAGGTGGAGGATCTGTCGGTAAGTCGTAAGTCCGACGTTCCAGTGATAATGCCACCCACTACGTCGGGCGTAGTCCATGAGGAATCGCAGGATCGGACTGTGCCGAACGACCGTCAAGACTACAACTGATCTACCTCTTGTATTCTCACGTGCATTGCCTGCTCACACTTCTGTATCATGGTAACTCTCAGAGACTTTTCTTCGTTAGTGCTGATACTAATTACATACGTAAATGACGAAGATGAGTTAATACTGATTTTAATCTTTAACTTTGTTTTTAACGGAAGCCATAGCACTAAGGTACAATGTGAGGTTTTTATTGTATATTGGACATACCAATGCACCCGCTACGATCGAGACATCGTTATGCAGGATAACAAAAAACTACGGATCGATGTCGATGTTGACAACTCCGTTATACATGGGATCGTAGCGAACAATTATGTCGGCAATTATTATGGTTTGGCATTGGTATGGCATGTTTGTGCCGGAGAAGTTCACTCTAAAAAACAGTGGGCGAAGTTGCTTTTTTCTTTTTTTCTTAAGAGAGGAGATAAACGGAGGAAAAAGGAAAAAAGGAAAGATGGTATCTAGGAGATCTAAGAGAAGAACAATATGTAGTACCTAGATGATCGAGTCGTACTTCCGTCCAGGCGGCGAAGAAATATCTAAAAAGATATATAAAAAGATATCTAAAAAGATATTTCTAATGAATCATGTATTTAGATACATACTCATGTATTTAGATACATATTCATGTATTCAGATACATACACTGGAAAAAAGTGGTTAAATTAAAGCAAAATTCGCTCAAGCAAACGTTCATGATTGGACGAATTGTATAGTTGCTGTGAGGAGAGTTATCAACTGATTCTTTAATGATAATTTGGTCAATAACTATATCGTATAGCAATTGATTGCTACACTAACGTGTCATTTGTTCATAGCTACAATATTTCTTTGAAGGCAGATGACCGATGATTTTGTCGACATAAGTGTTTTTTTTCAGTGTAATGTACATAATACATTTGAAGGATACAATCTATCCTGGAGCCGCCTCTGTTCCGCTTTAGGGAGATCGATCGTCTAAACTACTCGTGATACCGATCGGAAAAGCAAGTTGAAAAACGCATCGTTTTTCCGACAGCAATATCTTATTGCACGCTTGAACAATTGTGGATCTCGTCCGAGATTGTTCACTATTATTTAAATTCTTGAATACATTTTGAAGAATTCTGAAGAATATTAGAATGTTCAAAATGATTCTAAAATCTACGGCGTTCGAATCGTTTGAGAACTTGCGACCGAAAAAGAATTTCCGTCATCGCCTCCGACTTTCTGCCTCGTACAAGACTGAACATACGTCGTAGATTCAAGAGACTGAATATATAGCACTTACGTTCCAAATTCGTCCAAATCCATCAAGGATGATTATTATGCAAGATATCCCATTACAAATTTTCACGTTATTGTCTTCGAGATTTTCTTAATATATAAAGCGATAATGATAATGATTTTCTTAATATATATAAGCAATAACGATTGATAATGATTAGAAGAAAAGCAAATAGTTTCGAAACGGAATATAAGGCGAAGTATCGTGAGAGATGAAGTGTCGTACATCTTGAAAAATATTTTGCTTAAAAGAATGTTAAGACGATCTTGAGACATTTATTTCAGTAATCGCGGGTTCACGAGACAATTACGTGGAAAAATTAAGACGGGTCATTCTCTATAAATATGTACGAAATATATATATATATATATATATATATATATATA